ACTACTACGGACTGGGCCACTCTAAAAAGAGTCATGCGGTATGTCAAGGGCACCTTGAATCTTGGTCTGCGTATTTCTCGGTCTACATCTATGGATATTCACGCCTATTCTGACTCAGATTGGGCTGGTGATCCGAATGATCGCAAGTCTACTAGTGACTTTACTGTGTTCTTGGGCAGTAATCTTATATCTTGGGTTTGTCGGAAGCAACGGACTGTGACACGTTCCTCAACTGAAGCAGAATACAAGGGACTAGCTGATGTATCTGCAGAGGTTACATGGCTTGTTTCCCTGTTACATGAAATCGGCATCCCTCCTGCGTCTCCTCCTCGACTATGGTGTGATAATTTGGGAGCTACTTAAGTGCCAATCTAGTGTTTCATGCCCACACGATGCACATTGAGATTGATGACTATCATTTTGTTCGCGATAAAGTAGCTAAAAAGGAGTTAGAGGTGCACTTTATTTCAACCAAAGATCAACTAGCGGATATCTTTACAAAGTCTCTTTCGTCTCTGTATTTTAATTCTCTCCGTGACAAGCTCAATGTTTTGGCTACCCAACCTTGTGCTTGAGGGGGGGTATTAGGACTATATTATTCATATTAGACTAGGACTATATTATTCATATTAGACTAGGACTATATTATTCATATTAGACTAGGACTATATTATCCATATTAGACTAGGACTATATTATTCGTGTTAAACTAGGACTCTATCTAGTATCTATATATTCGCTCTCTGTACTCTCAGACATCATGATTGAATACAATACTTTTACATACATTCTCATCAAATGTACTTCGTAATAATTAATGACATGACATATATCTACGCTCGGAGAGTTAAGTTGTCTCGCGAGAACAATTGTTATACGAAAAATGCTATGTATACTTTTATTTTTTACTTTCAACTTTTATTTCTATACACAAAATTTTGAGTAAATACCGGCGGAGGTCCTCCGACTTTGGTGGCACTGTCAATTTTAGTCCTCAACTTTTAAATCAACCACTTTTAGTCCTCTTACTTTTTGTTTCTAGCCATCTATGGTCCTTTGTTAAACTTGACCATCTAATGCTGTTTTCTAAAAGATAATTCAGTCCTTTCATAATTAATCTATTAATTATTATGTTTAATTTCCTCATCAAAATAGTCAAGCAATGGTTTCCCCAGCTATGAACGTGTACAAAACCAGCTCGTGAATCAAAATGGCGTACAAAAGCTGGTACGAAGGTTGTGCCAAAATGACGTCGGGATATCTCGGTATGACTCAGCAAACATAATAATTAATAAATTAATTATGAAAGGACTGAATTATCCTTGAGAAAACGGCATTAGATGGTCAAGTTTAACGAAAGGACCATAGATGGCTAGAAACAAAAAGTAAGAGGACTAAGAGTGGTTGATTTAAAAGTTGAGGACTAAAAGTGGTAGTGCCACCAAATTCAGAATTCAGATTTCAGAGGATCTCCGCTGGTATTTACTCCAAAATTTTAATGTAAACATATTGGGACCCACATGAAAAAATAGCATATCAGTACCAGCCACATCAAAAGTAAAATTTAGAGAGTAAGATTTTGGAGTCCATTTAGTAGAACTTTATTATTCCATGGACCAAGGTCCATCTTACATTGTGGAGTTTTGTTTAAAAATTATGTGTAAATAGTTGATATATTTTGTACCAGTAGTTAACAGTTTATATGCATGTAAATAAATTGAAAGCACACATAACATGTTAACTACAAACATATAACATGGTAACTACAAACACATAATATGTTGTAACATGTTAGGTGTCTGCAATTTATTTATAATTAATATATTAGTGTATGCAGTTAACATATTATATGTCTGTAGTTACCATGTTATATGCTTGTAGTTAACATATTATGTGCTTTCAATATGTATAAAAATATATTTATAAGTACAAATTTCTTATTATGATCTTTTTTTTTTTTGAGGGGGGAGGGGGGAAGGGGGGGGGGGGGGGGTGAGAAGGGGGTGGAACCCAAAGATTAAGATCTTTTAAATTACACTCATATTGATATGTTTTTTTAAAAAATAATAATAATAAAAGTAAATCTATTGTATAGAAACTAACTTATTATTTTATTGTAATGTTTATGTACATTAAACTTTATTTTCATAAATATATAGAATTAACATTACAAACTTACTAGTAGATGAAAATAGATATGATGTACCTATAGTTTAGCATTTATTGTTAGGAATATTTCCCTATCAAATTAAAATAAAAATTAGAAATTAAATCCCTAGATTTTCCTTTGTAAAGTTTGTACAAATCAACTTCATATTCATCGCAACAAATTTTTGTAAGCATCCAGAATATGAAGACTTCAATACAACACAAGTTTTAGGATAACACAATGTTGATCTCATCATCATCAAACAGCAAAGGTGTTAGGAAAAAGTGTAAATATATTTTAATGTGCCAAATTGTAACATAGGAATAGATTTTTGACCCCTAATGTTTTTTTTTTATATATATATAAACTAATTTTTAGCGGTTGGTTGTTGCAATTTTCGCTAAGTGTTGTAAATCAAAGGGAGTTCCACACAATATTTTATACTTTTATGTTGCCATCATGATGAAGTCATCAAGCAATAAGAGTTAGTAACAATTCAAGCATGATGACTATGACGTTTACCAATGCTAGTCATATGGTCTCACAATTCTTGTAGTCATCAAATTATTTTAGTACGTAGCTCAAGTTTTGACTTTCTTCTTTGTATCTTCATAACCTCTGAGTATTTTTATTTTTTCTATTGTATTATTACTAGTATGCATGGAGATTACTCATGCTTGTAGTACCTCTATACAACTCAAAAACACCTATATAAATTTTATAAAATCACAAAAATATATCCATGCGCACATATATTAATGATAATTAATTTAATGAGTCGACATGTGCATGTGTATACGATCTATATACAGACTTAAGACCAAAATAATTGGTCTAATCACTTGGCGTTAGTGTTAATTCAACACTTCTATCACAACAAAAGCTACAAAGCTCATACATGCGAATATTTATAACAACAATTCATCACTAATTTTGTTGGATTTTTTTAGCTTAAATATGGCATGTAAGTGACTATTTTGTGGTACCAATATATGTAAGATCCACTTCCAATTTGGGCGAGGTAAAAGTGAATATGCACTCTTCGTAGTAAACGAAAAAATTGATATTTTGTACGCTCAAAACGGATAATGTGTGAATGAGAAATTGGTTTTTAAAGTAGACACATTTGAGTTGGAAATGATGGTGAAAAGGCTTTGTAAAAAGCAATTGTCCAACATTGGTGTTGCAGCCCTAGCTAGGTAGGATCGTAACTGATAAGAAACTTTTCGAGTAGGCTTCTAGCTCTTAACCATATTCGAATCACGGCAAACTCCAAATTCACACTTCGAGCGTGTGAGGGTTTCAGAAAGTAACTATGAAGAACATGAATAAGAACAAAATATTTCTTTTGGTGTCTAGTTCCCAATCTTCATATACAATTGACCTATTTATATTAAATTACTAATACCTATAAAAACTAACCTAATAAATTTATACTAACTATACAAAGTAATGATATAAATAATTTCCTTATACTAATATTTAGTCAATTATCCTCTTCTCTTTTTTTTTTTTTTTGAAAATAGTCAATCATCCTCTAATTATATATGATTTATTTCTTTCAGATTCACCGCCAATTATTTCTTTCCTTTTATGCGTATCAATTGGTTTGAAAAGTGGGCGTGCACCACTATATAGAAGGAGGTTGAATTGTATATCATAGAAACTCTCTCTCTCTCTCTCTCTCTCTCTCTCTCTCTCTCTCTCTCTCTCTCTCTCTCTCTCTCTCTCTCTCTCGCAGGGAGGGTGCAAATCAAATCTCAAAATGAGCCTAAAAAGGGCTTGACTCGTGTATGCGAACACGAATGTAATCTGCGAAATTGACTGGCCTTGCGGGCTAAGTTATGCCTAATTTTTCCAACTTAGAGCCAGGAGTAAAACTTTGTTAACTATTTGGTAGAGTAGTTACCATTCGGATGTTAACTATTCCGTTGACCGAATAGTTGACCAAGTACTATTCAGAGTTGCACGGGGGTTAAATGTCTTATTTATTCCATATGTTAATGCTAGGTGCATGTTAATGCTATTAATTTCCACATCTACTATGTAAGCATAGTTGTTGGATACAATGTTTTGCTTGCTTCTTTTTCACCAAGAAAACTTTATTTTTCTCACTACCTCTCTCAACTCATTTCTTATGAGAAAATTCTGCCCACAATTCCGTAAAAACACAAAGTGCTCGCATGTTGTTCTTGTTCGTCGGAATATATGTTTAAGTGCTCAAACAATATAGTCATAATCCGTTTTATTTTAGGAGACTGACGCTACAACGCTCCTAGCACCATCAGGAGGTAGCGAATCGATTTTAAGAAAAGTGTGTGTTACACACCACTAATCACTCACCACTCCACCAGTACCACTGGATCACCACACAGGCAGACACCAGGAATGGGCCACTGGAGATGAGCGCCTCAGAGACTAAGACTGTGAGATGACATATATTTGAGTGGGTCGAGTTGTCAAGAGAATGAGTGAGTGAGTGACTGCACAAATGAGGAGAATGCCAATTGCCAAACCTTAAGCATATATATATATATATATATATATATATATATATATATATATATATATATATATGCCGCGCAGTCGCACACACACATATGGAACACGACGTCGTATAGTAATATATATGCTTTGGCATAACCCTACATAATTTTGGGTAATCGGATGGTTCGGATAAAAAAAAAAAAAAAACATATCCCCTCCTCGAATAAATAAAACCATATGTTTCACAGGTTTGGGTCGCTTTAAGGAAATAGTTCGATGGCATTGATTGCGAGTAAAGGATTGGTCGGTTATTTCGGGTGGGTTGGATTTGCACACCCTAAGGAGGGATGACGAGAACCTTACGGGCAAAGCTCGTTACGCAAGTGTTAACACCCATCGTGGAATTGGTGGGTAAGAATGTCATTTTGGCCACATGTTTTATCTATTGTTATAGCATGGACTAGGGTTCATATTCCATTGTAAACTTTGGTCCAAAAATTGTGTATGCAATTAACATATTTTGTACCTGCTATTAACAGGTTACGTGTAAACAAATTGAAGACACATAACATAGTAATTACAGACACATATAACATGATAACTACAGACACATGAATTGATAATTGCATGTACAAAATATGTTAACTACATACATAAGATGTTGGTAACATGTTATGTGTCTGTAATTATCATTTTAACAATTTATGTATCTGTAATTATTATGTTATATGCCTTCAATTTATTTACATGTACACATAATCTGAAGGTTATTTTTGGAATTGGGTCCACAATGTAAATTAGACTTGATCAAGGGTATAATTTACGGTGTTCTATTGAGTGTAATGCCATTGTCATTTTTTTTACACAAAAGTAAATTAAATTCTTGCAGAGCAAAGCAGAAGAGATGGTCTGGAGTCTGTTGGCTATGTACTAATGTATTTCTTGAGGGAAAGGTTTGGCATAAGTAGTGTTGTGCTTTTCATTTTTGCTTAGCTAACTTCTCCCTTGTATATTTATTCTTCTAAAAGGTTGAACCCCAATTCGAAGAGCCTCCCTTGTATATTTATGAGTTCTACTATGTGTACTTAAATTTTACTCCTTCAAATTTACTCCCTGATATGACGGATTCTGATAGATTATTTTTTTCATGTGGATCCCTGTAAAAATATCTACATTAATATTTTAAATGTGAGAATAAAAGTTAGGAGTAGAGAATGAAAATACATGTAGTATTTTCCTATATTTATTATTATACAAATATCTCACACTTGCTCTACCTTTTAATCACTCTGATTGAAGCCTTCCATGGCAAGGACTGAAAGCTGGCACAAAGAAGCAGAAATATGGCATGATATATAGCTGTCAAGAAAATACTTATACCTATTGAGGTACTATGGTTCGTTCAATGATGTGACAATACAAAAATGTTTTGTGATGTGAATGTCCTTAATTAATTGTATCGATCCTTGATTTATACAGCTGCTTTGCAAATCTTATCCATCAGAATTATATTTATGTTGGATATTATATTTATATAGTAAACTAGTTTTACATGCATATTACAGGAGTGAGTTAATGTCCAATATAATGTTTATATTTAAATAAATATTTGAAAATATATCAATGCAAGATTATATAAGAGAAGTTTATATATAAGTAATTGAATGTCAAATTTGTTTATTTAAATATGCAACTCAAAGTATATAGATACAAGATAATATAAGAAGTTCATTATAATTGTCACTAAAATAAATGTTTGCAACTTTGTAAAATCGATAGTTTAAATAATTGGTCTAAAGACGATAGTCTAAATAAATACTACTTTTGGTTTGAATTTTTCTAAGTACTCTTAATTCTCTTTTGAGTAACATTGTCATTGTCTTCATATTCACTATTTGTCCTCTTCCTTTTTGTTGGTAGTGTGCTATTTGCAATTCGGTTATTGTTGGTAGCATAGATGACAACGTGGATTATGATGTAGAAAGCTGTGGATTTTCCTTGTTGTGTATATGACTGGATCTTAGTTGTACTATGAACTCTTGATCTTGCAAGCGCCTGTTGATATTTTGCAGTGGTAGTTTGTTCCCCTACATATTTTATGTAGAAGTATTGAATAAAATATTAATATTTATTATATTTGTATAAGGTTCATGAGTAGTACCTCTTGTTCTATTTTCATAACTTGTTTACTACTTGATAGTAACAACAATAACTCTGTAGGTAGTTCGAATATTGATGCTGCAACGTGTCTAGTTTCATCAATAATTTCCATATCCATTTTGCATATGTTCATTTTCAAGTTCATATTTTTATAATTAGAAGGAATGAGTGTAGCACTTGATTTTGTGTGTGTGTGTGTGTTTTTTTTTTTTAGTTTTTTTTTATTGAATTGATATTAACCTTCGAGTTAAATTGTTTTCCACTTTGTGCATAAGTTTTTTTTTTTTTTTTTAATGGTGACTACATCTTATATACCAAGTATTTTTGTTGTGAAGGTTGATGTTGATTTTGCCTGCAATCTAAGCAGGTTGAGTCTAGAAAATGAAATGAATTGTAAATTTATATTAGTTCTAATATATTTAATGAATACACAATAAGTATTTTACATACATGATAAATGAATGAATATTTTGAAATTTCTTCATTTTCTAGGTTTGCCAAATTGATTGCAGCATTGTTGTAGTCTTGGCATCCTTTGAGTGCATCCAGTGTGTTACGATATTCTATTGTCTTACATTGACCATTTTTAATAATGAGTTTTAAATGTAGTTGCGTAAGATAATGATATAATTAACATTTACATATTAGAGAAAATTGCACTTTTCATCCCTAAGTTATATGATAATTGTAGAATTCGTGCCTAAGTGTTGGTCATACTCGTTTTTCATCCCTAAGTTATCATTGACATTGCACTTTTCATAACTAATTAAATTATTTCTCTTATTTAGTTTATTGATAAAATATGAATAATTTTCTTTTTTTAAATAAAGGCATTGTAGATACACAATTCTAAATAAAAAAAATACATATATATCATTTTTTTTTGTTGTAGCTAACTACTAATTTATTCAATTTAACAAGAGTAAAATAGAGTGAGTAACTTAATTATGCCAACTTTGATTGGGATGTGGTTCGAACCTAAGACCTTTCTTATTGAAATCATAAGTTAATAATTAAGGATAAATTTAGAAATCTTAATGAAAAATTAAAATCTAAATAATCTGAACCATTCATTTCATTTAATAATTTGACGAACATTTTTTTCTACCCATTATAAACCTAATTTTATTGACTCTTATTAGCATAGTAAATTATTAGTATAGTAGATATACATGTGTTTGAACTTTGAAGATTTTAAATATGTTACTAAACTTAAATAATATTTGAGAGTTATGAAGTTAAATATTATTTTAAGTTTAGAGGAATTTTATTAAACAACGTTATTTAATATTTGGAAAATGAGAAGAGAGAAAAAATCTCCTAGATTAACCTTCCGTAAGATTATTATTATTATATATTTTGTATAAGGGTATTTTTATCTTTTAAATATATATTTCATTCATATTCCTTAAAGATGCTATTGGGCTCTTTTATTTATTTTATCCCCCAATTCTTCCCAATGAATATAAAGTTCTAAAATTGTGAATATAGAGTTCAAAAATTGTAAATATAGAGGACCGAATTCTAAAGACAATCGGCAATGAATGAAACTTTTTTAAAAAAAATTTAGACTGCATGGTTTTAAAACAAAATGATGCTGTTTTGAATTCGGATTCACCTTGCATGGTGGACCCGGGTCCACAACATAATTTGCCTATAAAAAAAGATGAGCTAGCTTACGTTGGGTTTAATAATTAGTACGGAGTAGCTTTTAGTTTACTTGAATGATGTTGAGAAGTTTTAAGTAGAAATAGTCTTTGTCTTCCGTTCTTCAATGTCAGTTGTCATTTGAACATCGCCTAGTCACCGCTGTAGAAGTTTTTTTGTGATGGAGTTTTTTTTGAATATTTTTTTTTAATAGTCGTAGAGGTTTTTTGACATGAATGACTTGGCGCAAAGTGTTACTGAGCCTTTAGGACCTTAGAGCATCGGTATCAATTGGGAAGAATTGGGGGATAATGTAAGAGTGATTAGGAAAAAGAATGTGAGAGGAGAGAGAAAAAACAAAAAAAAAAAAACAAAATTGAAATTTTTAAAATAAAAAAATGATGTAAACAGACGCGTCAGGCATGTCCGGGCACGTGCAACCGGCTTTGAACTCCTTCTGCGCGAAACGCGCTTAGCAGGCGCTAGTCCTCTTTTTTTTTTTTTTTTTTTTTTCTGCCATTATCTTGACATTTGCAGGAAAATTGTTTTTGGTATTATCTTTGCTTCCCATCTGTTGAAGTGCATATTAGTGTACTAATAGTCTAATATCTCCATATTATGCTTTGATGTGGATGCTCTTAGAGCATGAACATGTGGTTATTTTGGAGTTCTTAGAAAAGATCGAGTGTTCAATGACATGGAGGAAAGAGAATGTATGAGAGAGAAAAATGGGAAGCGTCTACAAATGAAGAGATATTTAAGAAAATGGGACTCACTGGACAAAAAAAAAAAAAAAAAAACTCCCTCTCGCCTAAGTTGCGTGAGTGTCACACTGCGCGCCTGATAATTGTTTTTTTTTTTTTGAAAGTGTTTTTATATTATTATTATTTTTTAAAATCAGTTTTTGCTTTATTTTTTTTCTTCCTCCTCTCGTACTCTCTTTTCTGATCACACTTACAAAAATTCTTAAAAAATCACAAAATATCTCCACTATTATAAATGCTCTTATCGCCACACAATTGCTCCGTTGTCGTCCTAAATTTTTTTTTTTTTAAATGGTGGTCAAAGAGTTTTCCGGCAAAGGAGATACGCCATTGCCACAAGGCATAGCCACTTCCCCATTGTTGGTCCTCACTATCACATTGTTGCTCCTTTGCCGTCAATACTGCCCTCAGAGCAACCATTGTTAGGTTTCTCTATAGTGCAGCTTTGTAAAGAAAGTAAGAGCATCCGTATCAGTTGGGGAGAATGGGGGATAATGTAAGAGTGATTAGGAGAGACAATGTGGGAAGGGGAAGGAAAAAAAAAATTGATTTTTAAAACAAAAAAAAATTAAAGGAAATCAGTCGCGTCAGGCGCGCCGACCTTGACGCGCCTCCGGGCGGGTGCACTGCACGCGCCCTGCCTTCCTCCTCAGTTCCGCGATACGCGCGAAACTGCGCTGTTTCTTCTTTTTTTTTTTTTTTTTTTTTCCTGCCATTCTCCCCTTCTTTGTAGGAGAATTATTTTCTCCATTCTTCCCTTCTCCCATCTCTTGAGCTGCATATTTGTGTAATATTATCCCCCCATATTATCCTCTGATGGGAATGCTCTAATAGGGGAAGGGCGAATGAAACGACATATTATACCCTCCATTTTAACGTCCGTCTTGACTAATAGAAGACTACGAAAGGTCACATTTTGATACTCAAACGATGCTTGCTGATTGGTTTGATAGTTTAGGACCACTAGTGATAAAATCACAATATTCAAAGGACCATTGGAGTTAATAATAATAATAATAATAATAATAATAATAATAATAATAATAATAATAATTTAAAAACATAATAAGTGTGGATGATGGTTATACCTTTCAATTATGTTCGTTTTTCCGTTAAGTTTTTTTTTCTTTTTTTTTCTTTTTTTTTACATTATGCTATAAAAGTTGTACTTTACAATATTTTGGACAAACATACCACTACCGTTATAACTTCCGTTATCTTTTCCACTATTGTTACCATGCACATACATCTACCATATATTTTCTTATCTTATTCAATAATAACAATATATACACATTTATATATATGTTAGTTATTTCCTAAAACATAAATATCAAATTTATAAAAATATTTTACATTATTATTATTACTAGTATTTTCACCCGTGCGATGCACGTAATGAAATTGTTGTAATATATTAAGAATATTTAAATTGATATATAATTATTTAAGAGTTAATTTCACCAGAGGTCGCTTATCTTTCTTGACAATTCCAAATTTAGTCCCAGACTATAGTTATTAATTATTACGTTTTATTATATGTTATAATTCTTACTTTATAATATTCTTACTATTATTATTAACACTTAATTACTTTTAGATATTATTATTACCACTTATATTTTTATTATTAGTTTCCTTTCAAGTTCTGATAGTATATAATGGTCGTGAGGCACAATAATAATATAACTATAATTAAATATTCTTGTATTGTATTCCGTGAGTCACAATAATAATATAACAATAATTAAATATTCTTCTATTCTATATTCTTCTAGGAT